CCTGGTCACTCACATGCCTGCCCCAAGGAAACCAGACCCTGAAGTTGTCCTGGCTGCTCCTTCAGGGTTGTTTGGAGTGGTTTTCCAGCCTGGGGTTGCTGTAGCGTTGCCAACCCCCTGCTATTGTCACTGTCTCCTTGCCATGCAGGGAGGGCAGTGAATCTCTGCGCTTGCTCTGGCAGGTGAAGAAGCTGCAGTCCATCCTGAAGCCCATGATGCTGCGACGGCTGAAGGATGATGTAGAGAAGAATCTGGCACCCAAGCAGGAGACCATCATTGAGGTGGAGCTGACCAACATCCAGAAGAAATACTACCGGGCCATCCTGGAGAAGAACTTTTCCTTCCTCTCCAAGGGTGCCAACCAGCACAATATGCCCAACCTCATCAACACCATGATGGAGCTGCGGAAGTGCTGCAATCACCCGTATCTCATCAACGGTGAGGGCTGTGGGAGGGACGGATAGCACTGCAACGTTTACTGCTCACTACCTGCAGAGCTCGCCCAGCCTGGGAGCCTGCTCAGGCCCTCATGCCATCTGCTGCTGGTGTGGTTGTGCATCGAGGCCCAGCACAGGATGCAGTGATCTGCCTTGTTGCCCTCACGGGCAGCCCAGCTCCCTGCAAGTCCTGCTCACTGGTGGGGACCGCAGGGTCTTGCGAGGCTCACTGTGTTTGAGGGTGTCCTGCTGTGGGACCCTTGGCTTGTTCTGACAAGAGCTGGTGCAAGCCCTGAAGAAGGAGTAGAGCCATAGGAGTGGAGGGGCTTCTGGAGGTCTCTAGCCAACCTCACTAGATCTGATTGACTGCATGGGTTCTGTTCCTGTGTGGTGGCTTGCTGTTGCCCTGCATGGGGCAGCTGCACTTCCAGCCTCGCCAAGAGCTCATGTCCCTTCTCACCTGGCAGGAGCAGAGGAGAAGATCCTGGAAGACTTCCGTAAGACACACAGCCCGGAGGCGCCAGACTTCCAGCTGCAGGCAATGATCCAGGCGGCTGGGAAGCTGGTGCTCATCGATAAGCTGCTTCCCAAGCTGATCGCTGGTGGACACAAGGTGCTCATCTTCTCCCAGATGGTGCGCTGCCTCGACATCCTGGAGGACTATCTCATTCAGAGGCGGTTAGTACAGCCTTCAGCATTTAGCACAGCTCCTCCATCCACATCACCTCCATCCTGCTCTGTAGATACAGCGTGGAAACAGCCCAGGGTGGGGATTTGCCCTTTCTGTGCCCACCTACCAAAGGATCCCAGTTACCGGCTACTGCTGGTGGGTGCAGAGACCCCAAAGCAGGGCGCCTCCGACCTGTCCATTCCGCATTGCCCAGGGCTAACCCCAGGAGTGACCAAATGGAAATAGGCCCTTCCCTTGGTCCTGGTTCCCATGAGCCCCATATCCATGCACCGTGCATGGAGTTGTGATGGTTTTGCCTTTGTAAGAGGAGCAACTTGTGGGAACAACCACAGTGCACAGAGGCTGATGG